AAACATAAGCTCTGTACATGTTTCCTTGTAATATGGGGGGATCCAACGAGAGAAACGTGTAAATTAATTAAGATCTTTCAAATTACCGATAAGTGCCAGTAACTCATCTGTAAGAATAACCATTATCGCCCACGCAGCAGAGGAAGCCTGCACAGATCGCACTGAGAGCAGCTGTGATATTCACACAGCTATAATCAAAGCGATCCACAGACCTGCTGAGTTGTAATCCGACGTGTCCGTTACACCGACGGCAGATTGTCACGCTCAAAGAAGACGTTCAGACACAGAGGCGGAACAGAAGCAAAGAAAGGGAAAGAGTGAGTCTTGTGGCTTGTGTTTACTTTAGCCTGTAATTTAACTTTTTCCAATCACGGTGTGTTTCTGTGAAGCTTAATCCCAAAAATAAAAAAGAGGCTGCAAACGAGAGAATCTCCATTTTAACAGTTTGACTTGAACACGCTCGTGAATGTGTATGGAGAAGATAACGGCCTCCTCTCCGTCATACATGCATTTATCTGACTGTCTTCATATCACACGTCTTCAACGTACACTCTCCAACTCGTCTTTCAACTCCGTCACGTAGCAACAATGTGGTCGCCATAGAAACTGAATTAAACTTAAAACAAAGGATATTTTTATCTCGTCATCCGGGAGAAGACTTCTTCAAACGGGAAGAACGCAAAGCTATAATCCCTCCTCGGTGTGTTTTTGATTTTCATCATAAGAACACTGGGGGTTTCTCCTGTATCCCGACAATGAGGATAGTCGGAGGGAGCAGCAAAGGACGAGGTCCAGCTGTTCAGCATCTGTCTCCGCAGATTTCACCGTCCTCCTCGGTTCATCAGTCGTCATGGACTGCGACGTTCAAATTACCGTCAGCTGATCTCTGTAAACCTGTAATAACAGTCATTTAGCTCGACGTGCTGACAGTTCTTTTACACACCCGGCAGCTTTAAACACATTTATTTATATATTTACAGCGACGTTATTGTTCATTCCACACTGTACTGAAATTAATGTGAAGGTCAATATCCAGTATGTTTTAGTTTTACTGATGATGTCGACAAACTCCAGGGGGAAATAAAATCTGTTGAATCTGTCTGTCCGCTTCTTTCAGCCTCATCCGAGGCCGATCGGCCATTTTTTTTATTATGTTCTGTCATTGAAAAAGTAAAAATAAAACCCATTTGTGAGAAGTTTTTGAGAAATCCTGCCGAGTAGAGTTCAAACCTCCTTGAAACAGTTTCCTCATTAAGGGACTTTTTTAATCCAGTAGTTACAGATCTTTATTTGTGTCTCATTGGACACACTCACATGTCTGTCCCCTACTGGTTTTTCCAAGAATTTAGTGGACAGACGTCCCACAGAGGAAATCAGTCCAGTGGATAAACAACATTCAGAGCCGATAAACTGAAGATGTTTTAAGTTGTGTGTGTGTGAATGTAACGATTACGTCTCTTACGTGGTCGTCAGTCGTGAAGGTGATAATTTCCTGCAGACAGCGTCGGCCTCCTGGGGCCGGTAAAGTTTGGGTTGGACGGACAAACAATGAGCTGAATTCATGTGATAATTATCTGCGGACTCATCGCAGCGAACCAACGATCCATTCACACATTATCGATTAATGAATCGTGACAGAAAATATCGATTCCCGCAGCTTTACGGCCTTCTCGTCTTTGTCAGAACTGAGCGTTCATCACCGGGAATAAATCAGACCGTCTCACGCAGGCGCATTAATCTCCGGGGCCTGAATAAATGAAGTTCCCTCAACCCGGCTCTGATACTCGGAATTCAGGATTACAGCTGTTTTCCATCCAATCAGCTCCACTTTGCATCCTGGGTGTGAAGTGATTAGCCGTTTAGAATGAAGGTCAGCGGGGGCTCGGAGTCCTGGAAGCCGCCGCTCCAATCCACGCAGAAATGAGGGCGACCCGGCGCGGATCATGCAAATAAAGAGCAGTATTTGCATAATTACTTCAAAATAAAGTCTCGGTAATGATGTCATTGTGAAACCACCTTCACTCAGACGCTGCAGCTCTCATCATGTAGCTCTAATAGAGACGGAGAAGTAGAACTGGAGCTTCATGTGAATTCCTCCGGTGTTTTTACTGACCTACGCACCCGACTGACCCATCGGGCCTTTTTCTAGAAGATGTTAAAAGTTCCTGTTTCCAGCTTTCCTCCAGCAATCACAAAAATGTGATTTATTACATCTGTAAAACTGGACTTTTAGTTGTTTTCCGATCCTGGGTTCCCTCATAATAAAATAATAAATGATGAATCTCAGGTTGACTTGCTGGTTTCTGATTGTTCCAGACCTTTCGTGTCCCTTTAAAGTATAAAAGAAGAATTATCATTTCTTTTGCTTCCTGCTGTTCATCATCTAATTCCAGACGCCATCGTTTCCTCCTGATAAAACCGAAATGTAACTGGATGAACCTGAAATCTCCGTCAGCTCCCCGGCCTCCTGTGTAACGGT